GTTATGGATTGCATCTCAATGTAAAGAAAACAAAAATCCTCACCACTGGACCAATAAACAGCCTTCTTATCAATGGAGACAAGATTGAAGTTGTCAAAGACTTCATTCTTCTTGGATCAGCTATCAACACTCATGGATGCAGCAGTCAAGAAATCAAACGATGTATTGCATTAGGCAAATCTGCTGCACAAGACCTTTTTAAAGTGTTGAAGAACAAAGATGTCAGCTTGAGGACTAAGGTGTGCCTGACCCAAGCCATGGTATTTTCAGTAACCTCACATGCATGCAAAAGCTGGACGGTGAATAAGGAAGACCATAGAATAATTGATACTTTTGAGTTATGGTGTTGGAGGAGAATATTGAAAGTGCCATTGGCTGCCAAAAGAACCAACAGATCTGTGTTGGAAGAAGTGTAGCCAGAGTACTCCTTGGAGGCCAAGATGGGCAAACTTTGTCCCTCATACTTGGGACATATTGTCAGGAGGGACCAGTCAGCGGAGAAGGGTATCATATTTGGTAAGGTGGAGGGTCAGAGAAAAAGAGGAAGACCCCCAGCGAGATGGATTGGCAAAGAGGCAGCATCAGTGGGCTTAAGTGTGGCAACAATTATGAGTTTGGCCCAGGATCGGGCAGTGTTTCCTTGTGTTGTACATAGGGTCACTGTGAGTTAGTACCAACTCGATGGCACCTAACAACAGTGTAGTAGGAATAGAAGAAAGAGAGCTGCAGTGATAAAAGATACATCATAGATGTTGGTGTTTAAAGTTGAGTCACAACAGTTGGATGTGTTAAAAGTGTTAAGGTATGGGAGATGGCTTTCGGAGGTAGGCTTTAGAGTAGTTTAGAGAGATGAGTACAATTCTAAAAAGTTATAGTGTGTGTGTGTCCTGGTGTGGCTCTGTAGAATAAGCTCTAGACCATAAGGTCAGTTTGAATCATAGGGTGGGCAATTCAAATTCACCACCTGCTCCATGGAAACCCTCTACAGGGTGGCTCTGGGTCAGAACTGACTCCATGGCACTTAACAACTTAGCACATAGTGTTTATATGAGTTTTTATTTGGAGATTGAAGAACTTCAGGTTGATAGCAGAACTTGGAGTCAAAGAAGGACTGTGAACCAAGTGCCAAAGACCTCAGAATATGAAAGGTTTGAATAGAAGCTTGGTAGATGATAGAGATGAGGTGGAATAAAGTGATAAAGCCAGCTGGTATGTGTTTCATATAGTACAGGATGGGTGTTTCCGTAAAGGTGGGTGAAATATGGTTTGGAGGTGGCAGTGGAGATCTGAGAGCATGCTTGTGCTCCTGTGGGAGGGATAATTATCAATTGGCACTAAAGAGCATTGTCAAAGATCAGTGTCTTTTGCGTAGACTCAGGCTTTCTGGTAGAACAGGAGTGTGGAGGAAACATTCTCTAAAAATAATGAAGATCAAGGGAGGTTGGTTGTTTTGTAATGGGCATTCCAGATATTGCCTTGGAAAGAGTCAGGCAAACCTATAATGAGAATAAAATCAAGGAAAGAATCATATGTGTGGGGTTTGGGATGAGAATTGTTGTTGCTGCAGTTCAAACCAACTTTGCAGTCCAGCACATTAGTCCACAGCACCACACTAGGACTCCTAAGATGTGAGTAGCAAAAAGGTAAACATAGGATTTAGCATTTTGATAGTTAGGGATAGACTATTGTATTGTGCTGTCTTGTTGATTTTGACTGTATAGAACAGGTATTGTTGTTGTGAAATGAGTCGGTTCTGACTCATTGCAACCCTGTGTAGACTCTCCGAGGAATGGCTGGTAAGCTTGAACCACCAACCTTTTGGTTCAAACTGACCTTGTGGTCCAGTGCTTTTTCTGTAGTGCCACACCAGGACTAAGCTAAGTGGCCTTAAAATTCTAAATGGAATTCTGTTAGAGAGTTTTAAGTTTTTATTGTGAATTGATGATAGTTTACAGAACAGTCAGGAATATATAATCATTTCAACAACCAAAGGGCACAATTCTGCAAGCCTGCCTCCTGGCCACCAGCACTCTGTCTTTCTCATTCCATGAGTCTATACTCTTTAGTCCCTTCTTAATTGGGTTTCTGGGAGCATAATAAACCCTCCAAAGGGAAATTAACAGAAATGATGAGGCTGCTTTATGGTATTAGTAATCACTTGTATTGGCCATTCCGCCATCTTTTTCTCTGTAGATAGTGATGCTGTTATTATCATCTCTTTTCCATTTCGGTTCTGACACCAACTTCATCTGCAGTTAACCTTGAGCTATGTCAGATCTCATAAGCTAAAGAACACAGTCTTGACTGCCAAGTTTGCCCAGTCCTCAGCCTCAAGATTTGTTGTTGTTGTTGTTAAGTGCTGTCGAGTCAGTTCCGACCCATAGCGACCCTGTATAGGGTTTCCAAGGAGCGACTGGTGAGCTTGAACCACCGACCTTGTAGTTCAAACAGCTTTGTAGTCTGGCGCATTAACTCACAGTGCCACACCAGGACTCCAGTAGCCTTAAGCTTGTTGTTGTTGTTGTTGTTAGGTCCCATATTACACCCTCACTTCTGACCTGCTGGCTACAAATTTTGCAGTTTTCCCACTATCCATTCAGGATACCAGCCATAAGCTCCAGGCTCCCCAGGGCATCCCTATTTCCGAGGAGCTGACCTCCAATATTCCTTCAGGTTTCATACTCTAGAAGAGCTCACAGAATCCATAAAAAGTACTATACTCATGATTACAGTTTTATTATAACAAAAAGAATACAAATGAATAGACTCATAGGATCAGGTATTGGAAGGTACCCACTGAAGTGCTACTATGCCTCAGAAGGGACATACTACTTCTGCTGTGGCACGCTGTAGGATAAGCACTGGGCAGTGAACCACAAGGTCAGTGAGTTGGAATCTACTCAACGGCACTTAACAACATCATTACCACCCTCCCAGATACATTCAGACCTTTCACCAACCAGGAATGTCATGGAGCTTCTGTGTCCAGAACCTTATTGGAATCTCAGTAGGTAGGTTACCATGAATTGAATCAGCCTGCCCCATCCACTTTCATCTGAAGTTGACCAGTATTACCAGGTATTAGTTTTTCTTGTCTGACTAGATACTGTCTCTCCCACTCCCCCAAAGGCAGTCCATCAGAATACATCCTCAGGTGTGGTTTGGAAACCACATCAAAGACACCTCAATCACTGGGGTGAGGTTCTTCCCCAGGAATTAAGGAGTAAAATTAAATTCTATACCTTTCACTTGCCTAGCATATCTTTGCTCTAGTCATATTGAAGACATTATTGAATAGAACAGGATTATTGACAGAACAGTTCCTGCAGAGACCTTCCTCCCAATTGGCAATATTTTTTTTTAACTAACATTTAGGGAAGCAGTTGTTTAATCACTTGACTTTATTATCCTGGTTTCTTGTTACCTTGATAAAGATAGCTCCATGCCTATGTCATTGTAAGGTGTTTTATACCTCTCTCTTCTACCACTCTAAGAATTCTCATAAAAGAAAGTGAGCTTGTTCTGTAAGACACTTCTACAAGTTCCTGGAAATTGTGGTTTTTAATTGATGTCATATAAATCATCTCTTTTTGTTGTGCTTTCTTAGTGTTTATAAAAATTGGGGCAGCACTAGTTCACATCTTCTAGCCCTTCAGAGTGTTCCAGTCTCTTGTGGTATAAAAAGATTATCAGGAGTGATTTGGGGATCACATCTAAAAGGACTTCGGAGTTACTTGCCATATAATGTTTCCTGTTTTGCAGACGTAAATTCACTTATATTAAGGCTAGGTACATTCCTAATTAACTTTAGTTTCTTGAAAGAAATCATAATTCAATCTTTTGATCGGCTGGCATATGTAATTCTTTGTTTTGTCATGTGGCAATATTGCTTCCTTAACTCTGCCCCAAACCCTATTAAAAAGTCACTTATATTGTCTTCAGTAAACTTTGAAAAAAGAGCAAATCTTAGTTTATTAGTTTTAATGAATATTCTCCATGGTAAGGAGCTGTGGTAGCATAGTGGTTACAAGTCGAGTTGCTAACCTCAAAGTCAGCAGTTCAAACTACCAGCTGTTTGCAGAAGAAAGATGAGGCTTTCTGCTCCCATAAAGATTGACAGTCTTGGAAATCCTATGTAGGACCAACTCCACAGCACACCACCTCTGCCATTCTTAATGGTAACTGACTGGAATCGATTATCTGTTGAGATCAGGATCAGTCAGCCTTCAACTTGGAGTTTATGATTATGTAGGTTTGTGGGTAGGAGTCCCATTATGGGTAGACAGCTCTGCCTATCGGAACACATCAGTAATTCCTACTTGGGAATGATTTTGACCTCGAGGGATGACGTTTGGCAAGAACTGGAGACATTTTTGGTTGTCACCACTTGGAGGAGGGGGAGGGGTGTGCAACTGACATTTTATTAGATTGAGACTAGGGATGCTGCTGGATTGCAAGGTCAGTTTGAACTGCAAGGTCAGTGATTCATGCTCACCAACCACTCCTGGAAACCCTATACAGGGTTGCTATGAGTCAGAACCAACTTGTAGGCTCTTAACAACAACAGGGATGCTGCTAAACATCCTACAGTGCACAGGACAGCACCCCTAACAAAGAATTATCTGGTCCCAAATGTAAAAAATGCTGAGGTTGAGAACTTCTGGTGTACGTTGATACTTGAATGTTTTTGAGGCAGTCAGACAAGATTATTTACAATATCGAAATGAAACTTCACCACACCCAGCCGGAGGTCAGTGCCGTCTTCTTAGCCTGAGGGCCCGGAAGAGACTGGCCATCGATGACAGAAACAGGATGCAAATCTTGGGCTTATTTCTATACGAAACTCTTAATACATAAGTTTTTTTTTTTTTTTTTCTAATAAGTATTTAGGATATAAACTTTTTCTTTTAGGTTTTTTTTTAATCTCACATGGTTTTTGTAAGATCACTTGTAGTGACAAATATTCATGGTATTGAAAACATTTATTTTTAATATTACAGATCTAGAAATGGCCATTGCCTACTGGAATTTAGTGCTTAATGGAAGATTTAAATTCTTAGACTTATGGAATAAATTTTTGTTGGTAAGTTCATGTTTTCTGCAGTTCTGTATGTTTTGTCTTTTGTCTTTGTTTGAAAATACATTAGCACATTTGAAAGCATGAGTAAGTTTTTTAGAACATGTAATGAACATAGAATGAACAATTTTGCTAGAATTTTATTATACACATTGTTTTGCATTCTTTTATTTTCCATTATCTAGACTATTGTTTTTTCAACTACTTTTAGTTGTTTAAATATATGTGTATCTGTTTTAATAGGAGCATCATAAACGATCAATACCAAAAGATACTTGGAATCTCCTCTTAGACTTCAGTACAATGATTGCAGATGATATGTCTAACTATGATGAAGAAGGTAATGAAATTTCTTGCCCTACCAATTTTTTCCATTCTTTCAATCTTCTTTTATCACATATCCTTGAACTTTTTGTCCACTTCTGCTTTTCTTAGAGTTGGATTTCCCTCTTTTTTTTTAACTTGTGTTCTTCTGAATGTATGCAGTGACCGTCATCCTCTGTACCAATCTATATTTTCTGTTTGTTTCAATTCCAACTCGGTAGTCATGTCTACTACAAAGGCATGACACTTTTCAGCCAGGTTTTAGATTTCCAGTTCACTCTAGGAACCTATTCTCTTCCTAAGGCACTTCTGTTCTTATTTTGTGTTACCTGTTTGTCTTATCTATAACCTTGATTATAAACTCATAGAATTTAGTGACCTTGTGTAATATGACTGTGAACCGCAAGGTTGGAAGTTCAAACCCACCAGCTGCTCCTCAGAAACACTATACAGGGTTGCTATGAGTCAGAACCGACTCAATGGCACTTAAAAATAAGAGCTGTCTAGTGTTGTACTGTAGCCATTCAGTAACAATCCCCTGGTTGAACACTCTCCTGCTGTGCTACCATTTACTCTCAGGACATGCACTTTTTTTTTTTTTTTTAATGCTTTATTTTGAATTATGTGATAGTTTACATGGGAGAACATTAAATTCACATTGATCCCATCGTATATCATTTCCTTGCCATGGTTACAATCCCCTCCACGCATCATCTACCAACCACAGGGTAGGGTATACCTTGCAAGCCTGCCCCCCAGGTCATCAGCACACAGCCACTCTCCCTCTCCACGTCCAAAGTTCCTAGCCGCTCCATCTCTCCACGTGTCTGCCTCCATCTCTGGTCTCACTGCTTCTCTGGGTAGGGTTCCATTCTCCACCCTTCTCCTTTGATGGTCCCAGGGACCTCAGCTCCTAGACTGCAAAGTTTATCCCTCCTCTCCCTTTGCTGCCTTTACATTTCCAGCCCTTACCATCAGTCCTGATAACAATTATTCACCATTGTATCGCTAGAGACCTATCCGCATCTTCTTTCCTCAGTCCCGCCTAGACAGATTGGATACTCAGTGTAAATTTTACCTTGCTCCATACCCTCTGGATCTAGGTTCCCTCTTGAAAGCTTGTAAGCCAGTCACTGTTTGCCTCTGTAGTCCCCCCATTCTGGGTAGCCAGTGTCCAAGTTGCCCTTCCCTGTCTTCTCCGTGTGTGGAGGGGTTGGGAATGATCCTTGCTGTGAAGATTTGTTCCCTCTTTTGAGCTACTGCTTCCATAGTTGTAGGTCAAGTTCATCAAATTATATCAGATTATTCTTTTTTTTTTTTTTTTAAATTTAAGGTTTTTATTGTGGATTAAGTGAAAGTTTACAGGGCACATCATCAGTTTCACATTCAA